TGGTCACATTACTGGTTAATCTTTGTTTGGGACTTAAATGGTAGTAATGTGTTCCTTGTGTTCTATTGGACCTATCATTCAACACCATCAATCATAATATGCATGTTCAGCTCCTATGAAGATGGATGTTGACACTGTCAACTTTTTTATTAGTGGGAAATTTCATCCAGTAATTATAGAAGAAGAAAGATCAACCTTATACTACTACATGTATAGTACTGGAAGATTCAAGCAGTTATTTTATATCAGTGCTATTATGAAATGTCACAAAGCAGAAGCCCTGTTTTCTTTCAGTAAGAACTTAAGGGGCCCAGATGCAAGCACAGAGCACTGCTGTTTGCATATATTTATTTTCATTTTGTCTCCCTGTTACACTATAAGAATTAAAGGAATTTGAAAAGTAGGAATGTGCCAAATTGTTGCAACTGAACCATGGGAAACTCAAAACATTTCTTCTGAAGTGTGAAATACCCCATTTCCCAAGTACAAAACCTGTTCCAAAGCAAAAGAGGCTGTTTTGAGCATTTTTCACACTCAAAAGCAGCTATTTCACATCTGAAACTTGGGGTGTTTCACATTCAATTCTCTTCTTTTTATTATTTAATACTGGCATGAACCCAGAGGGAAAGTTTATTTACTGTTCAGGATGTAATATCAGGAATATGCTGATGATGCCCAGTTTCACATTGCCACCCTGGGAGGCTATGAAGACAAAACAGGTTGAAGCTGAATGCATGCAAGATGGAATTGCTATTTATAAAGCAACGTTCTTGATCAGTTGTGATGTCATCTCTCAAGCATTATTCCTGAGATAGTAAGTTGATACCTTGAATGTCCTTTTGGAGTCACAGTAGACAAATAGAAGCTATGGCCAGAGGGCCTCTTGCCCAGCTTTCAGCCAGTGCATAGTTGCAGTCCCTTTGGGGATACAAGGAATTTGTAATAACAATTTATGTTGTACTACTGCAATGCACTATTCACAGGGCTGCCTTTAAAGAACATTCAAAAGCTACAATTGTTACAAAATGTGATGGGCCATTTGTTGGAGTGTGTACATCATCACAAAGGCATTATACCTGTGCACAAGACTCACAATAGATAGGCAGATGCAGTTCCCAGAAGGGCCTTTGTGTACCAATCTTCCATCTTGTGTACCAATTTTGGCTTTTCTGGAATAGCAAGCAGGCTTTATGCAGTCATTTAAACCCTTGGGTTATTAAATTTTACTGTACATGGCACAGCCTCTGAGGTCCACTAAGAAACTTAGCTGGTCAATCATTTTCTTTTTACTTTATTTCAGTTGATTTTATGCCACTTCAATCAAAAAGTGAATGCATTAACTGAGTGTAACACAATGTAATCCTGGTTAACAGCCTGCAATTCAAGGTGCTGGTTGTTATGTTTAAGGGCGTACATCAAAGATTGCCTGGCTTATTACTCATCCCCAACCACTCAAGGAAAGAGAGCTTGTTGAGAATCTCTTTGTCAAAAAAACCCAATTCAGCAACCTTCTTGTGGGAACAAATAGAAAGAAACATACAAACCAAATTACGTGAGGAAAAAGAAGAAAGAAGGATTGATTGTATCTGAAGCAAGATGCTTCAAAGGAATACTTCTTTGTCAGAGGACTGAAAAAAATAAATGAAATAACCTGCTAACATACTTACAATATACTCAACAAGTTTCAGGTGTGAACTCATTATATAATTTGAAATAAGAACTATATACAAGAAATCCACATGTACAAAAATACAAAACAGGACTATGTAAGGAGACAAGCTTATTATTTATCTTATTTATTTGTCAAACATGTACAAGATAACAAGTATAAGTATGAACATAAACAAGAACAAAGGAAGTAAATACAGATTAAATGAGGACAGTAAGACAGGGATGGTAGGCACGCTGGTGCATTTATGCACACCCCCTTTAAGGACCTCTTAGGAATGGGGTGAGGTCCACGGTAGACAGTTTGCAGTTGAAGCTGTGAGGGGTTGAGGCTGTAACAATGGAGTTGGATAGGGCGTTCCAGGCATTGACCACTCTGTTGCTGAAGTCGTACTTTCTGCAATCAAGTTTGGAGCGGTTTATCTTGAGTTTGTATCGGTTGTTTGCCCATGTATTATTGTGATTGAAGTTGAAGAAGTCGTTGACAGGCAAGATGTTGTAGCAGACAATTTTGTGAACTATGCTTAGATTGGACCGCAGGTGGCATAGTTCTAGATTGTCCAGGCCAAACTTTTGAGCCTGGAGACATAGGGAATTATATTGTGAATGGAGGAGTAGAGTACTTTTCTCAAGAAATACTTCTGAACTTGCTCAATTGTATTAATGTCTGATATACAGGGCGGGTTTCAGGAAGATGAGCTATATTTGAGAATTGGTCTGGCAAAGGTTTTGTATGCCCTAGTTAACAGTTCACAATTCAACAATTGTGAAGAAGCTTCACAAAATAAGGTTAACAACTCTTAAAGCCTTTTTGGCAATGCTGTTACAGTGAGCTCTGGGGCTTAGATCATTTGAGATAAGTACTCCTAGGTCCTTGACAGAGTGAGGGTAGTCTATGACATCATTACCACCTAACTTGTATTTGGTGTTCTGATTGATTTTTATTTTTTTTTACCAATTGTAGGACAGAGCTATTGTTAGTTGAAATTTGGAGTTGCCAATTGTGCGACCATTCTGACACATAGTCAAGGTCACTTTGTAGGGCAGCAGCATTGCCACTGGTGTTAAATAATTTTATGTCATTGGCAAAGAGGATGCAGCTGCTTTTAATGTTGCACATAGGTTACTGATGTAAAGCAGAAAGTATGTGGGTCCTAAGACACTGCCTTGGGAGACACTGCTAGTAACTGGTGCTGGATTTGATAGGACCTTCCCTATTTTTAGCATTTATTGCCTGTTTGACAGGAATGTGTCTATCCACTTGTGCAGGGGTCCGGAGATGCCGTAAGAACTAAGTTTCAGCAGTAGTTTGTTGTGCACCAATGAATCAAAGGTTTTGCAGAAGGTTATGTAAATTGTGCCTATTGCTTTACCCTGGTATAGAAGTGTAGTCCAAATGTTTCTGCAGTGTAGGAATTGCAGATTACATGACAATTTTTTTCTGAAACCAAAATGCTTGTTAGAAAGTAGGTTGTTTGTTTCTAAGTGTAGGGTGATGGATTGGTTTATAATTGATTCCATGACTTTACAGGCGACGCAACACCGTGAGATTATTGATCTATGTAAATGCCATCTATTTTATTCACATACAGTTTTTTATGTGTTCCAGTGTAACTTGAAACCTGTTGAATATACTGTTATTTATTTTTCATGTCCTCTGATGAGGGAGCATCCCCACAAAATGACTTCATCATTTTGGTGCTTTCAAATCCACTCCTGTTGATTGCCTGGATAAGTTCCTGCAGTTTTCTGGCAAAATTTTGAAGGGGACTTGCCATTGCCTTTTTCCTAGACCTGAGACAGAACCAAGGCTTTGTACACTTGGCTTTGTACCTAAGACAGGACTAGAACTCATAATCTCCTGACTTCTAGCTTGGTGTTTTATCCACTACACCAAACTGCCTCAAAACATATTGGGATTCAAATCCCTTTCATGCCAATCCCTTTCTTTATCCCCTCTTATAGAATAGACTACCCCATCCTTAGTTTGCTCCTGAAGAGATATGAAAACATAGCTGTTCAGGAAAGTATTTAAGGACAAATGACTACTACTGTACTCCACTTGTGGCACATCTGTTTGGCTGTTGTCAATGACCATAAGCTGTTGTTTGTTTTAATTCTATGTCATATTGGTTGCATAAGCTGCTTAGAGCCTGTCAGAACAAAGTGGTGTAGAACTCCAACTAAATGAACAGTGGCCTTCCCCCAAAAAAGCATGAAAAACTGAATACTTCCAAGGGCATTAGTGATTGATGTTTGTCTTCTTGGTGTTTTTATGGTGATCTTGGGATAACATTTTGTTCTTACTGTGGGATTAGCCCAGTGATGACACTTGATTATGTGCTGCATGTGGATATATGCCAACATAGATTCACAGAGATCTTTTATTGATTGGTCAACATAATTCACAGAAAAAGCAAGATTTCCCTGTACTTTCCATAGCTTTCCCTGACATATGATGGCATATTTGTGTGTTATTTCATTCAAAATTTGTTATTTGAATTTCATACATGAAATGCGCATAAACTATAGTACTAATGGAGACAAAGCTTGACAGCCCCAACACTAAAGAACAAAAACTGATAAATTAGTTTCTCTGTATAAATAAAAAGCAAGCAGTTCTCCAAGCTCCCATAGCAGAGAAGCCTAGAATTAAGACAGTTCCTATTTATAGCACTATGATTAGAAACTCTCCACTTCAAAGTTTTTATTCCCTTTATCCATTTATAAGGCCATAACGCAGTTGGACTAGAACTAAATAGCCCAGTGTCCCACAGATCTCACCAGAACCTAATGTGCCATTCAGATACAGTTAAATTAGTAATAGACAGCAGTCTGTGCTCCACAGGACTTTTTCTGCTTCAGAAAACACTCTTTAGTCCCCACTTCCCCTCTCTTCATGGCTTAGGCAGTAGAGAACCAAAGGGGAAACGAACTAGTTTGGATAAAGCAGAAAGCTCTTACCATTCTCAGCTTATTGTTTCTTGCTGTATATCCTGAGGGGTAAAGTTGGCAGAAACAGGCTTTATCATGAGGAATACCAGAACAATTCTGCAAAGAGGAACTAAAAGGCTGAGCAGCCATGAAATGCATATGATTTCCCTTTAAGTTCTTGCAGAACATGCTGCAGTTAGGATGATTATGTGAGTATTTCTACAATAGCATTTTTCTATTAATGTAGATGTGATTGTCTATGCTCTCTTGAGATGTCCGGCACTTCTATTTGAGACAATGTGAGTATGACTTGAGAGATGGAGGTTAAAAGCTAGGCTGTCTTATAGAGACTTCTGTAGAACCAGTGACATGGTTGTAAAGTTCTCCATAGTGTCCCTCTAAAGGAGAAGGTTGGTAAAGATGATAGAACTTGCTGAAAAATATTGACCTGTTTGATTATAGAAAAGAATATATATATATATATATATAT